CACCGGATTAAAGCCTTTTGAGTGTAGTGAATGCGGGAAATCTTTTCCCTGTAGCTCAGCACTCATTCGACATCAAAGAACTCACACAGGAGAAAGGCCTTATGTGTGCGTTGAATGTGGGAAATCCTTTATCCGAAGGCATCGTCTTGTTGAACACCAGCGCATTCACACAAAAGCCTGAGGATTGTAGAGAATATGGGCGATCTTCTCCCCCCTACCCCCCCACCCCCGGGAAATCTTTTAAGAATACTTTCTAGTCCAATTAACAGTGGATAGTTCACACGGTAGAAAGGTGCTTCATTCCAAAAATATGCTAAATCCTTTAGCCGTAAATCTTCCCTTTCTTAGCACCTGAGACTTAATGTTGGTGAAAGGTCTCATGAGTGTACTGAACGTATGAGATGTTTTAGCTGTATCTATGGTGTTTGTTTTTATCTGAGAGTTCACGTAGGTTGAAGGCTGTATGGTGCAGCAAATGTGAAAAATCGTTTACCCATAGCTTGCCAGTCTTTCCGTCCCTGTCAGTTCACTCAGTTGAATGGTCTTAGGGCTGCATGGAATGTGTGGAAATCCTTTTCCGAAAGAATTTACCTTATTGTACAGTATAGAGTGTACTAGAGCAGCGGTTCTCAACCTATGGGTCGCAACCCCCTTGGCAGTCGAACGACCCTTTCACAGGGGTCGCCTAAGACCATCCTGCATATCAGATATTTACATTACGATTCATAACAGTAGCAACATTACAGTTATGAAGTAGCAATGAAAATAATTTTATGGTTGGGTCACAACATGAGGAACTGTATTTAACCGGCCAGAAGGTTGTCCTAACCGGTTTGTCTCAGTGGATAGAGCGTCGGCCTGCGGACTCAAGGGTCCCAGTTTCAATTCCAGTCAAGGACATGCACCTTGGTTGCGGGCACATACCCAGTAGGGGGTGTGCAGGAGACAGCTGATTGATGTTTCTCTCTCATCAATGTTTCTAACTCTCTATCCCTCTCTCTTCCTCTCTGTAAAAAATCAATAAAATATATTTAAAAAATAAAAATAAATAAAGGGCCAGAAAGTTGAGAACCACTGCACTAGAGAAATATTTCAGACCCGCAAGGGAATGAGAAATTTTCTTCCTTCTAGACTCTGGAAGAATCCAGGAGAAACCATCTGTCTGTATTCAATCTCCTGTGTCTCATTATCAAAGTTGGGAGATAACCTTTAAGTTGTAGTTACGTGGGAAGCATGTAAAGGGTGTCCCAAAATTCACGCAAGAAGTAATTTTGATAGAAAACACAGGTTTATAATTAAAAATTATAAATCTTTTATTGATTCATAGAGTATACAGTATAGGGTTATGTATGGAATAGCACATCAGGTCAGTGGCCTCCATGGCTTTGCTGGCACATACGCAAAGCCTTGCTCTTCATTGGTCTTCATTGTCCCTGCTCCTGGGCCATCATTGGTACTGGTGATGCTTATAAAATTGAAGGGATTGACATCAAAGGGCAACAGATATTAGAATCTGATTAAATACACCAAGTAAAATTAGGCTTTTATTTTTTTGTTGTTGTTGTTATTAATCCTCACGCAAAATTCAAATCTTGCGTGAATTTTGGGACACCCTTTATATCTGTTGCAGTTTCTAACCTGACGTTTTCTGTTTTCAAAGCCACATCGCCCTCCCACATACCTGGTCTCCACAGGTTGTGTCAGTTACCATCCTCACGTGCTCCAGGAAGCTAACTGCTCTTCTCCCATTTATTGGAGGAAATTAGGCGTAACCTCAACTCTTTGGAGTTCCCATTGGGCTCAGAGACGATGGCATGAGTCTGGCTAGAGGGCTGCGTTCTCCCATGAATCTTTTCAACTTCCGCTTCGCCAGCCTGAACCGTCCCCTGCACACTGCTTTGGTTTCTACAGTACTGTCTAAGTCCCTGCTCTGAAAGTCCTCTTTCATTTTGGATGTTCCATTTACTGTGTGGGATGTTTTATAAACATAATTTGAATCCACAAGTGTGAAGGGTGAACTTTTTTTAAAAAATATATTTTATTGATTTTTTACAGAGAGGAAGGGAGAGAGAGAGAGTCAGAAACATCGATGATCAGCTGCCTCCTGCACACCCCCCACTGGGGATGTGCCCACAACCAAGGCACATGCTCTTGACTGGAATCGAACCTGGGACCCTTCAGTCCACAGGCCGATGCTCTATCCACTGAGCAAACTGGTTAGGGTTGAACTTTTAAAAAATATATATTTTTATTGATTTCAGAGAGGAAGGGAGAAAGAGAGAAAGGTAAAAACAACAATAATGAGAATCATGGATGGGCTGCCTCCTGCATGCCCCCTACTGGGGATCAAGCCCACAACCCAGGCATGTGTCCTTGACCGGAATCAAGGCTGGAAACTTGTCTGCAGGCCAGTACTCTAGGCATTTTAGCCAAACCAGTTAGGGCAAAGGGTGAACTTTTATATAGGGATATCCAACTTTGTGTTCTTCACGGGCATAGTATAATGGCAACATACAGCTTACTGGTTTTGCCAAGTTTCCATTCCTGCCAACAACCTTCTAGGGAAGATGGCGGCGCTTTCTGGTGCTCATTTGAAGCCTGGATGCTATGAGTTTCAGGAGATTCAGAAATCACTCTGAGCTCGCCCCAGCTGGTTTGGCTCAGTGGATCGAGGGTCGGCCTGTGGTCTGAAGTGTCTCAGGTTTGATTCCAGTCAGGGCCATTTAGAAAAAAAAGAGGAACCACCCTGAGGATGGGGTCAGATGTGACATTCTCAAGTGCTTCTTGGAGAAGCATGAATTTTTGCCTTGTTCCCAGGAGATAATCTCAGGGGATGTTGAGGGGAATCTGTTTCTTAGGTCCCCCCCAAAAAAGTTTTCCCGTTGTTCTCCCCTAACCACTATGGTCTTATGGGTTAGGGGAGACAACAACGGCTACGGAAACGACACTGGACTAGTAGGGACTAGAGGGGACTTAGCCAAAGAGATGCACTGTGCTTCTTCCAATGTAAATCCACAAATGTTTCTGTCACAGTGGCTGTGCAGGACCAGAGTGTACACAAACGTCAGATTCTCCAGGCATGTTTGTCTTGTGTAGCTGAAGTTTCTTTTTTCTTTTCTTTTTTTTTTGTTTTAATACATTTTTTTTTTTAAATATATATTTTATTGATTTTTTACAGAAAGGAAGGGAGAGGGATAGAGAGTTAGAAACATCGATCAGCCGCCTCCTGCACACCCTCCACTGGGGATGTGCCCGCAACCAAGGTACATGCCCTTGGCCGGAATCGAACCTGGGACCTTTCAATCCGCAGGCCGACGCTCTATCCACTGAGCCAAACCGGTTAGGGCAATACATTTTTTTAATATACATTTTTATTGATTTCAGAGAGGAAGGGAGAGGGAGAAATAGAAACATCAATGATGAGAGAGAATCACTGATCAGCTGCCTCCTGCATGCACCCCACTGGGGGGGGGATCGAGCCCGCAACCCGGGCACCTGCCCCTGGCCAGAATCAAACCTGGGACCCTTCAGTCCACAGACTGACGCTCTATCCACTGAGCCACATCGGCTAGGGCTGTAGCTGAAGTTTTTTTTCAGAGAAAATAAAAGTTTTGTGTATTCCTGTAGGGATGATGACCTCGAGGCCATTGTTGCACAGATAGGGAAATAAAGATAAAGGAAAGTATTGCAGGGATATGGCTCTCATCACCCAGCCTACATTCTTTTTTTCTTATTTTTTAATCTTTATTGTTGAAAGTCTACAAGTGACCCACTCCAGAACAAAAGATTCACATAAGATGAGAGTGAAGGAATGGCAAAAAGTCTTCCGTGCAAATTCAAACAAACAAACAAACAAAAAAGCTGTGGTAGCAATACTCATAACAGCCTGCATTTTTTTTTAATTGATTTTAGAGAGGAAGGGAGAGGGAAAGTGAGATAGAAACATCAATGATGAGAGAGGATCATTGATCGGCTGCTTCCTGTGGATCGAACCCACAATCCAGGGATGTGCCCTTGACTGTAATCGAACCAGGGACCCTTCACTCTGCTGGCCGACACTCTATCCACTGAGCCAAGCCGGCTAGGGCTAGATTTTTTTAATGTCTCTTTTAACAACAACAACAAGTTGTTATTGATTTTAGAGAGAGAGGAAGGGAGAGGGGGACAGAAATACTCAGCTGCCTCCTGCATGCACCCCAGCAGGGAATGGAGCCTGAAACCTGGGCACATACCCTGACCTGGAATCGAAACAGATCTTTCAGTGCACAGGCCAATGCTCTATCCACTGAGCCAAACTGGTCAGGGCTAAAAGTATAATTTCTATGTAATAAACTGCACATATTTAAAGTGTAGTATTTGATAGGTTTTGACACACATTTAAAACTGAAAACACCATTCAATTATAGTAATGACCTAACCTGTGACTGTATTTTTGCCTCAGGACCTCATTTTTTAAAAAATATATTTTATTGATTTTTTACAGAGAGGAAGGGACAGAGATAGTTAGAAACATCGATGAGAGAGAAACACCTATCCGCTGCCTCCTGCACACTCCCTACTAGGGATGTGCCCAAAACCAAGATACATGCCCTTCACGGGAATCAAACCTGGGACCCTTCAGTCTGCAGGCTGACCCTCTGTCCACTGAGCCAAACCGGTTAGGGCTACATATTGTTTACAGTAGCAAAATTACAGTTATGAAGTAGCAACGAGAATAATTTTATGGGGGGGGGGGTGTCACCACAACTTGAGGAACTGTATTAAAGGGTGGCGGCATTAGGAAGGTTGAGAACCACTGCCTTAGGAGAACACCAGGTCTCTAGAGTGCTAGGAACTACATTACCCAGAAGGCCACGCGAACCGATCCATTGGCAACCTCATAGCGCCTTTCCGTGCTTGCGTCATGGGGGTGGGACTTCTGGTCGCCTCTGGCCCTGCCAGTTGCTGGCCTCGCGAGCGCGCGCGCGCACGCGATTGGAGGAACCGGGAGAGGCGATGCGGTGGGCGTGGCTAGAACGTCCGCGAGAGAAGTGGGTGTGAGGCTCCCCAAGGCGCCTGGGTCGCTCGCGTGGACCGGGCGCTGGGCCGCCTGCACCCGCAGCTCCCCGCTTAGAGCCCGATGGCGGCCGCACCCAGGCGCCCGGCTGAGGTGAGCGTGTCCCCAGGGCCGCCCCGCCTCCCCCTCCCAACCCCGCAGCCCGGGGGGCGGCGCCCGTCCCTCCTGGCCCCGGGTCCCGGAGGGAGGCCGAGGACCGGGAGGCGGGTCGGGGCTCCTGGGGCGCCAGCAGGTCCGCGCCCGGTGGAAAAGGGGTGTTGGCGCCTGATGGGGAAGGGAAGGTGGGGCGGCTCCTGGCTGCGGGACCCTCGGGGCGGGGGTCGCGGCTGACGGTGTTGAGCGTGTGAGTCACCGGGCGCCGTGAGCACGGACACGGGTGAGGGGGTAGGTGCCTGTGACGCGAGGCTGGGGAATAGAGTGCTAGGAACTACATTACCCAGAAGGCCACGCGAACCGAGCCATTGGCAGCCTGCTAGCGCCTTTCCTGCTGTGCGTCCTGGGGGTGGGACAGGGATGGTGGGCCGAGGATAGAGTGCTAGGAACTACATTACCCAGAAGGCCACCCGAACCCGTCCATTGGCATCCTGATAGGGCCTTTCCTGGCGTGCGTCCTGGGGGTGAGAGTTCGGTCTCCTTTGGACTCGCCAGTTGCTGGCCTCGCGAGCGCGCGCGCGCGCGATTGGAGCGAACGGGAGAGACGACGCGGTGGGCGTGGCTGGAACGTCCCGCCAAGGGGAGTGGGTGTGAGGCTCCCCCCAGGGGCGCTGGCGTGGTGGGACAGGGAGGCAGCGGGTGCAGAACGGGGTGCCCGCGGGGAGGCGCTGTGAGCCGGTGGCGCCGAGGCCCTGGTGCGGGGACCCGGTGCAGCAGCGCCCCCTCTGGTTGCGTCCACAGGGAGCTGCTTTGCAGGCGGGAGGGGGGCCCTAGGCCTGGCCCGCAGCTCGGGGGGCATCTGCGTGTCCCCGCTGCCCTGGCTGAGGGCTAAGCACAGTCACTGTGGCTCAGGGGCTGGGCTCTGACCTATGAACCAGGAGGTGAAGGTTCGATCCCCCTCAGGGCCCGGGCCGGGTTGCAGGCTCCAACCCCAGTCGGGCAGGTGCAGGAGGCGGGCGAGCAATGGTTCTCTCTCACCGTGGATGTTTCCATAGGACTCCCTCTCCCTTCCTCTCAGAAATCAATAAAACATATATATGCATATATGTATATTTTTAGAAATATATTTTATTGATTTTTAAAAATATGTTTTATTGACTTTTTTACAGAGAGGAAGGGAGAGGGATAGAGAGTTAGAAACATCGATGAGAGGGAAACATCGACCAGCTGCCTCCTGCACACGCCCTACTGGGGATGTGCCGGCAACCAAGGTACATGCCCTCGGTCGGAATCGAACCCGGGACCTTCCAGTCTGCAGGCCGAAGCTCTATCCAGAGCCAGACGGGTCAGGGCCAGTAAAATATATTTTAAAAATAAAAGTTAAAAGATAAACACAGTCACTATGGAACCCTAATAAGTGAGCAGACATCAGGGTCCCCAGGGCCTGGTGTCTCCTGGGAGGGAGGCTGCCCTGGAGGAGGAGGAGCCTGGGAAGGTGTGTGAGGGGTGGACTGTGAGGGTCTCAGAAAGACCAAGTGGATGGTGACCTCTGTCCCCATCTCGACAGGACCCCGTGACCTTTGACGACGTGGCCGTGTACTTCTCCCGGGAGGAGTGGGGGCTCCTGGACGAGGCTCAGAGACGCCTGTACCACGAGGTGATGCTGGAGAACTTGGCCCTTGCATCCTCTGTGGGTAAGACACTCACCGTCTCACCGGGGACGTGGACTAGGCTCTGCCCTGCCTCCCCTCCTTCCCCAGAGGCTGCTCTGTGGGCCCCACATGCTCCCTGTGGACCCCATCCCTGCCCTCTTCTCCCTGCTGCAGCCCCAATACCTGCTGCACTGAACTCTTCTCGTAGGGACGGGATGCCGTGAGCCTAATGCCGTCCACCATGCTTGCCCCCTCCCTGGCCAGGGCCGTGTGTCCAGATCCATAGTTCTCCTCCCCCTCCTCCCTCTTCCCTCTTCACCTCCCTTCTTCTTCCTCCTTCCTTCCTTTTCCCTTCTTTTTTTTTCTCTTTTTGCTTTTTAACCAGCATTTGTTGAGCCCCGAGTCTGTGCCAAATATTTCCACATACATTATTTCATTAAGTCTCCCTACATCATCCCTACTTACAGTTGTGGAAACTGTGGCTCCAAGAGGTGAACTGGTTTGCTTTACTAGTCAGGGTAGTTAATGCTGGCTGTTATGACAAAGAGCCCTCATTTCTCTATGGCTTAGCACCTATATTTATTTCTTGCTGCTGTTACAGTTTGAGGAGACCCAGGAGGCTTGTCCGGGTGAGTGTCCTTTAAATGATGACTGTGGATTGAGCTCCCTGCCTTTGTATGACCCTAACCCCTTGGATTATTTTGTTTCCATTAGTGTGCACACAGGGACAGAGAGTGTGAACAGTCACTAGGGATGCTGTGGGGGTAAGACCTGGAGTGCCCAGTGGTCCATGGTCCTTCTTTTGATCCCTTCCTTTAGCCAACACTTCCTAGGACCTGCCTGTTGGAGGAATTGCAGCCATGGTCATGGTCACTATTTTCCTGGACCTTGGGCTATTTTTCAAGACCTTTTTCCACAGTTCCTAACGTTATTTTGAAATAAACAAAAAAACAAATAAAGAGAGATTTCCTTTTTTCTTCTGTTTTCCAGTATTGCTGATCTGTAAAATGTTATTTATTTATTTATTCTATTTTTTTAAGGCTTTTAATTGATTTTATTGATTTTTTTTACAGAGAGGAAGGGAGAGGGATAGAGAGTTAGAAACATCAATGAGAGCAACATTGATCAGCTGCCTCCTGCACACTCCCTATTGGGTATGTGCCTGCAACCAAAGTACATGCCCTTGACTGGAATCGAACCTGGGACCCTTGAGTCCGCAGGCTGACGCTTTATCCCAGGGGTGGGCAACCCCTGGCACGCGTGCCAAACATGGCACACCAGTAACTTTTTACTGGCACGTGAAACCCTCTCTTATAATCTTCCATTTACAATTTTTTGCTTAATATCGACTTTTTTATTTTTCAGATAAATTCAGTATAGGTGCATCTTAGATAAATAAGTAATTTTACATAACAAGTTATCTTAAAGACCATAGACATGGATTGACGAGAGAGGGGAAGAGCAATTTCTAGGCCTCTGCCTTAACTCTCCCTGCCTCCCTAGATCCGACCAGTGTTTTGGTTTCATCCACATACGCGTGTGAATCTTTGTTCTCAGTGATGAATTTTGTTAAGTCTCGTAACAGGAGTAGCCTGACGGATGAAAGTAGTAGCTCGTGCATATCTCTGAAGGTCACGGTATGAACCTGATGTAAAATCTCTGTCATCAGTGACGCAGCAGCAAAAGTCCCACTGATAATATCAAACGGAGCCATAAAGTTTTCTGTCGGACTGTCAGTGTACATGTACACATTAAAAAATAAATGTATTTTTCATCATCATAGGCTGTGTTTTTGTCGCTTGAATGAATTTTATTATTTCTTCAAGGTTCTTCACATGCGTACACCTTAAGAGATATCAAGTCAGCGTCACATGTTCTCAAAAAATTAGGGTTGGCACCCAGAAGAGTTTTGAGTCAGAGATTTTGCTGGTTTTGGCACCCACTCACAAAAAGTTTGCCCACCCCTGCTCTTTCCACTGAGCCAAACCGGTTAGGGCTTTTAATTGATTTTTCGAGAAAGAGGAAGGGAGAGGGAGAGAGAGAGATATCCATATGAGGGGGAAACATGGATTGGCTTCCTCCTACACAATCTCTACCGAGAAAGGAGCCATCAACCCCGGGCATGTGTCCTCACCAGGGGATCGAACAGCAACCTGAGTGCACGAGACAACACCCAACTGAGCGACCCTGGTCAGGGCAGAACAGTCGAGTTTGAAATTTAATAGGAATGGGTTTGAATCTATAAATTCCATTGGGTAGTATGCACATTTTAACAATATTAATTTTTCCAATCCAGAACATGGGATATCTTTCCATTTGTTTGTGATGTCTTTTCATTTTCAGTGTCCAGATCTTGCACCTTCTTGGTTATGTTAATTTGTATATATTTATTGTTTTTGATGCTATTTGTCTATGTGATTGCTTGCTTAATTTCTTTTCTTTTTTTTTTTTAATATATTTTATTGATTTTTTACAGAGAGGAAGGGAGAGAGATAGAGAGTTAGAAACATCGATGGGAGAGAAACATCGATCAGCCGCCTCCTGCACATCTCCCACTGGGGATGTGCCCGCAACCCAGGTACATGCCCTTGACCGGAATCGAACCCGGGACCCCTCAGTCCGCAGGCCGACGCTCCATCCACTGAGCCAAACCGGTTTCGGCGCTTGCTTAATTTCTTATTTAAAAATATCATTATTAGTGTGTAGAAACACAACTGATTTTTCTTTGTTGATTTCTGTTTGTTTGTTTCAATATGCTTTTTTTATTACCAGAGAGAGAGAGGAAGGGAGAGGAAGAGATAGAAACATGGATGAGAGAAAAACATCAATCAGCTGCCTCTTGCACGCCCCCTACTGGGGATCGAGCCTGAAACCTGGGCATGTGCCCCAGCCTATGATCAAGCCAGTGACCTCCTGGTTCATAGGTCAACACTTAACCGTTGAGCCACACAAGCTGGGCTCTATGTTGATTTTATATCTTGCAACTCTACTAATTGATTTATTAGTTCTGACAGTCTTATGCTATAGGTATTTAGGGTTTTATATGTATAAACTTGTGTCCTGTAAACAGTTTTATTTATTTCTGATTTTGATGCCTTTTGTTTCTTTTGCTTGCCTAAGTACTCTGGGTAGGAATTCCAGGACTATTGTGAATAGAAATGAGGAGAGTGGACATCCTTATCTTGTTCCTGATTTTATTTTTTACTTGTTTTTTTAATCCTTAGGCGAGAATCATTTTTCAGAGAGAGTGGAAGGGAGAGCAAAAAAAAGAGAAAGGAACTTGGATGTGAGAGAGAAACATCAATTGGTTGCCTTCCGCATGCACCCTGATGGGATTGAACCCGAAACCTGGGTGTGTTACCTTGTTGGGAAGCCAACCTATGACCTTTTAGTGCACAGGACAATGCTGTAACCAACTGAGCCACCCCAGCCAAGGCTTGTTCCTGATTTTATTTTATTTTTTTTATTTTTATTTTTTAAATTGTTTTATTGCTTAAAGTATTACAAAGAGTATTACATATGTCTCCTTTTTTCCCTGCCCTTGACAATCCTCTGGCCTCCCCTACCCCCAGTGTCTTATGTCCATTGGTTATGCTTATATGCATGCATGCAAGTCCTTTGGTTGATCTCTTACCCCCCTCTCGCCCCCCAACCCTCCCCGGCCTTCCTGCTGCAGTTTGACAGTCTGTTCGAGGCTGCTCAGCCTCTGTATCTATTTTTGTTCATAAGTTTATAATGGTCTTTATTATCCAGAAATGAGTGAGATCATGTGGTATTTTTCCTTCATTGACTGGCTTATTTCACTTAGCATAATGCTCTCCAGTTCCATCCATGACGTTGCAAATGGTAAGAGTTCCTTCCTTTTTACAGCAGCATAGTATTCAATCGTGTAGATGTACCACAGTTTTCTAATCCATTCATCTACTGATGGGCACTTTGGCTGTATCCAGATCTTAGCTATGGTGAATTGTGCTGCTATGAACATAGGGGTGCATATATCCTTTCTGATTGGTGTTTCTGTTTTCTTGGGATATATTCCTAGAAGTGAGATCACAGGGCCAAATGGGAGTTCCATTTTTAATTTGTTGAGGAAACGCCATACTGTCTGGGTCAGGTCTCATGCCTAGGTTGCAGGCTCCATCCCCAGTGGGGGGGAGTGCAGGAGGCAGCTGATCAATCATTCTCTCTCATCATTGATGTTTCTATCTCTCTCTCCTTCACCCTTCCTTTCTGAAATCAGTAAAATTCAATTTTTTTTTTTAATATACTCCATTGATCCTCCACAGAGAGGAAGGGAGAGGGACAGAGAGCCAGAAACATCAGTGAGAGAGAAACATCTATCAGCTGCCTCCTGCACACCTCCCACCGGGGACGCGCCCGCAACCAAGGCACATGCCCTTGACCAGAATCGAACCCGGGACCCCCAGTCCGCAGGCTGACGCTCCATCCACCGAGCCAAACCGGCCACGGCAGTAAAATTCTATTTTATAAAAAAAAGATATTTATGTTTCTGTGGTATTGGTTGTAATGTCTCCTCTTTTATTTTATTTATTTATTTATTATTTGTTTTTAATCCTCACTTGAGGATATTTTTTCCTTTGATTTTTAGAGAGAGTGGCAGGGAGGGAGGAGAGGAAGAGAAAGAGAGAGAGAAACATTGATTGGTTGCCTCCCTCTCACTCCCCTACCATGGCTCAGTAACCTGAAACGGTGGTACATGTCCTTGAACAGGAATAGAACCCATGACCCTTTGGTCTGTATGCCAGGGTGTTAACCACTGAGCAAACCCGGCCAGGGCTCTTTACTTCTTCTTAAAAAATTAATTTCAGAGAGAGAAAAAGAGAGTCAGAGAAATACCAATAGATGAGAGAACGTTGTTCTGCTGCCTCCTGCACTGCCCCCCACCAGGGATTGGCAATATGCAGCCAATCAATCCTTCTCTCTCTCAGAGTTGTTTCACCCTCCCTACCTCTCTCTTTTTTTTTTTTTTTTTAAATATATTTTATTGATTTTTTACAGAGAGGAAGGGAGAGAGATAGAGAGTTAGAAACATCGATGAGAGAGAAACATCCATCAGCGGCCTCCCGCACATCTCCCACTGGGGATGAGCCCGCAACCCAGATACATGCCCTTGACCGGAATCGAACCTGGGACCCTTCAGTCCGCAGGCCGACGCTCTATCCACTGAGCCACACCGGTTTCGGCCCTACCTCTCTTTTGAAAAAAATCAGTAAAAACATGTTTAAAAGAAAAAATGTATGTTTTTATTCTCTTGATCAATCAATTTCTTTATCATTATCCTAGAGGCTTGGTGCATGACATTCTTGCAGTGGGGAGGAGGGGTTGGTCCCTCAGTCTGGCCTGTGTCCTCTCACAGTCCAGGACCCCTTGCTCCTTACCTGCCGCCTGCTTGCTGCTTCTCACCACTGCTGCGGAGGCAAGAGAGGCTCCTGCCACCACCACTGCGCTTGCCATCCACGATCCCGGCTTCTGGCTGAGCGGCGCTCCCCATGTGGGAGCCCTCTGAGCATCGGGGGCAGCTTCTGTGTTGAGTGTCTGCCCCCTGGTGGTCAGTGCGCATCATTGCAACGAGATGTTCTGGTCGTTCCCCCGTAAAGGTCACTTAGGCTTTTATTATATAGACTAGCGGCCTGGTGCCTGAAAATTCATGCACTGTAGGGGGATCCTTCCGCCCGGCCTGCCCCCTCTCACAGTCCAGGAGCCCTCAGGGGCAGGAGGCGACACCCCCATCCCACCTCTCCTGCTGCCACTGTTGGCAACGCAAGCCTCGGCCGGCCATCGTTCCCTGAGCCTTGGGCCCACCCTGGGCAGCTGGGCAGCCGCCATCCGAGGCTTGCCTGCGCCTGGGGCTGGCCCTGAGCAGCTGGCGGCTGAGGGGACTGGGGGACTCCAGAGGCAGGTGCACGGAGTGGCTGGACCCACCTGGGGGCAGGCCTGGCTGTGCCGTGCGCCTGCCGCCCTGTAGGGGCTTAGGGGACTGGGCGCCGCCATCTTGTGGCTGTGTGTGTCGCCGTCTTTGCGGTTGTGTCAGTCGATTAGCATATTCCCACTTTATTGGCTGTGGGCACTGCCATCTTGTGAGGGCGTGGCGGTCAATTACTACATTCCTTCTTTATTAGATAGGATAATGACTTTCTTAGTATTCTGAGTTGAAGTCTATTTTTCTGGTAAAGTATAGCTACTTATAAGTTTGGGCTATTCTCTTTTTACTTCCATTTACATGAATTATTGTTTTCAACTTCTTCACCTTCAGATCCTTCCTGTCCTTAACACTGTAGACTTTTTCAGGCAACATGTGTTTGAAACTTGTTTGTTTTTTAAAAATATATGTTATTGATTTTTTACAGAGAAGAAGGGAGAGGGACAGATAGTTAGAAACATCGATGAGAGAGAAACATCAACCAGCTGCCTCCTGCACACTCGCCACTGGGGATGTGCCCGCAACCAAGGTATATGCCCTTGACTGGAATCGAACCTGGGACCCTTGAGTCCGCAGGCCAACGCACTATCCACTGAGCCAAACCGGTTAGGGCGAAACTTGTTTTTTTAATAAGTTAAGCTACTGTGTATAACTTGATAACTTTGTAAGTACTTGACGATTGCCGTCTTGTTAACTATTTTTTTCCCTTTATTGATTAAGGTATTACAAATGTGTCCTTACCCCTCTATTCCCCTCCCACCCCCCAAATCCTGCCCTCACCCTTGTCCTCTGTTGTCTGTCTTGTCAGCTTTTGTGTACATATTTTGTACCCTTTTTGTTTTGTTTTGTTTGTTTTTTCTCTCTTGCTAACTCTCTGGTTTAATTATTTTTCCATAGTGGTATGCATTCATTTCTTTTCCTTCATTTCTTTTGCTTTGTGATTACCATGAGGGTTACTTAAAACATCTTAGAGTTATAGCACTTGGTTTTAATCTGATAACCATTAAACACATACAAGAAGTATACTTTTATTCATGCCCAGTGGCCATATTTTAATTCCCTTTGTTGAACAGCATCCCACAAACTCATTTCTACATATGACAAATACACATTTGTGATGGCATTAACCCATTCCTTTAGTCAACCTGTACTTCACCAGCCTTTATTTGTGTTCAGGTGGCTGCTGTGGAGCAGAGGATGCAGACGCTCCCTGTGAACAGAGTGCTTCTGTAGGAGGGTCACCGTCCAGGCCCTCCAAGGTGGCTGTGTCTTCCCTGAAGACCCACTTCTGTGAGAGCTGTGGACCCATCTTGAGAGACATATTCCATTTGGCCGAGCCCCAAGGAACACCACACAGCCAGAACGTGGTCAGGTGTGGGGTAGGTAGGAAACAATTTTATTTGGGTACAAACTTCCAAATTCACCAGAAGCAGCACCTGGCAAAGAAGCCCTTAGGAAGCTGTGTGGACAGGGCTCTGCTTGTGAAGAGCGATAAATTCAATCAGCATCGAAGATTTCGTGGTGGCCCAAGGCAGTACAAGTGCAGCAATTGTGGGAAGTCCTTTCACCCAAAATCTGTGCTCATTTATCCCTGGAGAAGTCACACTGGGGAAAACTGTGAGTTGTGCCGTGAATGTGCACAATGTTTTAGCCGTAGATGCATCCTCATTCGACAACAGACCGTTCACTCTGGAGAAAGGCCTTATGAGTCCCTTGAATGTCGGAAATCATTTAGCCAACTGTCTTCCCTCACTCAACATCAGATAGTTCATAGTGGAAGAAAGTCTTATGAATGTAGTGAATGTAGGAAATCTTTTACCTCTCAATATGGGCTTCGTTACCATCTGAGAATTCACACTGGAGACAGGCCTTATCAGTGCAATGAGTGTGGGAAATCATTTCCAATTCGATCCAAACTCTGTAGTCATCAGAAAGTCCACACAGGAGAAAGACCTTACCAATGCAGTGAATGTGGGAAATCTTTTACCCTTCACTATTACCTTCTTAAACACCAGAAAACACATACAGAAGAAAGGCCTTATCAGTGCAGTGAATGTGGGAAAAGCTTTACCCAAAAATCTTATCTTATTACACACCAGAGACTTCACAGTGGAGAAAGGCCTTATCAGTGCAGTGAATGTGGGAAGTCGTTTTCCTGTCGTATGTACCTCAAGAATCATCAGATAGTGCACACAGGAGAGAGACCATATCAGTGTAGTCATTGTGGGAAGTCTTTTAGTAGGAAGTCAAATATGGTTACACACCAGAGAATTCACACTAGAGAAAGGCCTTATCAGTGCAGTGAATGTGGGAAATCGTTTTCCTGTCGTTTCATCCTCAAGAATCATCAGATAGTGCACACAGGAGAAAGACTTTATCAGTGTAGTCAGTGTGGGTGGTCTTTTAAGTCGAAGTCAAATATGGTTAAACACCAGAGAATTCACACGGGAGGAAGGCCGTATCAGTGCCGTGAATGTGGGAAATGTTTTGCCCATAGTGACACTCTCTCTTATCATCAGAGACTTCACAAAGGAGAAAGGCCTTATGAGTGCAGTGAATGTGGGAAATCTTTTATCGATCATTCCAGACTTCGCTATCATCAGAGACTTCACACTGGAGTAAGTCCTTAAAGCAATGATGGCGAACCGTCGCAAACTCATTTTTTTGGTCGATTTTTTTTTTTTGTTAAATGGCATTTAAATATATAAAATAAATATTAAAAATATACATCTTTGTTTTACTATGGTTGCAAATGTCAAAAAATTTCTATATGTGACACGGCACCAGAGTTAAGTTAGGGTTTTTCAAAATGCTGACACGCTGAGCTCAAAAGGTTCACCATCACTGCCTGAAAGTGTGCTGAGAATATGCAACTTTCTGTTCTGTGTAACAACCCTGGAGCCATCTGTTTGTATTGAAACTCGTATCCCTGAACATGCAGACTGAAAATTACCCATAGTTCATTTATATAGCAAGGATGTGTAAATATGTTACACTTTTGACTTGCCCATCAACCTTCCTAGATTTAAGTTGCAATCTATGCACGTGCAAAACGCAATTTAAATGACCATTCTTTTTCATACATTGGCCTTGTAATTTATTAATAAACAATTGAAATTTGGACATTTTGTGTATTAAATTTATTTGTTTTGTTAATCCTCACCCCAGGATATTTCCTATTGATTTTTAGAGATTAGAAGGGAAGGGGAGAGACAGAGAGAAACATAAATGTGAGAGAGAGAGACATTGATGGGTTGCTTCCTGCATGTGCCCTGACCAGGGCTGGGGATGGAACCTGCAACTGAGGTATGTGCTCTTGTCCAGAATGGAACCTGGGACCCTCCACTCCGCGGGGGACACTATCTACTGAGCCAAACCTGTAGGGCAAGTTTGTTTTTGTTTTGTTAATCTTCGCCTGAGGATATTTTTCCCATTGAATTTTTTAGAGAATGGAAGTGTGGGAGAGAGACACACAGAGACAGATATCGATGTGAGAGAGTCACACTCATGGGTTGCCTTTACACATGCTCCGACCAGGACCACAGATTGATCCTGCCGCCCTGGTACGTACTCTTGACCGGGATTGAACCTGGGACCCTTCAGTCCCCAGGCCGGTGCCCTTTGCACCGAACCAAACCGGCCAGGGCTGAAGTGTTTCTCTGTGGTTTTTTAAATTATTGTTATTGAGGTAATGCGTCCTGCCAACTTCTGTCACCTCAGTTGTGAAATCTTGCAGCTGTGGAGGAGATTCATGGCTGTCACATGACCTCCCGTGCTCTGTCCACAGGAACCACAGCACGACCTAAAGGTGCCTCAAAGCGCTGATTCTTGGGGCTCACCCCCAAAGTGACCCCATAGGTTTGGGCTTGGGACTGGGAAGCAGCATTTCTAAGCAGTCCCAGGTGGTGCTGGTGGGCAGGGTCGGTGCCGAGGTGAAACCTTGAGAACTTAACTGGTGGCCACCAGGATGGTTACCTCCTGTTCCAGGCCGTGGGGCGATCGACGTGCTCACTCAGCAAGGGCAGCTGAGCTCGGGTTTCTAGGGGACACCCTTTGAGTGTCTGCAGTGGGCCAAGCTGCTTGCTGGTATAAGGTCTTGATCCCCAGAACCTTCAGACACTGAAGCGACCTGCTTCTTGGGCTTGGAACTGTCATTAAACAAGGATGCCATGAGACTGAGGTGGCTCCAATGCCACGCTGCCTACATGTGGACAGTGGCAAATCTAACCCGAGGAGAATCTTGTCAAAGCCTCACTGGTAAGAATTGAAACCTAAGAGAGATCAGTCACAAATAACAAACGAGGTTCTCACAACTGAGGCAACTATTTAAGCGGTTGCCATTTAAATAATTTTCTTATTTTACTTCCTTTCTGCTCAAGAAAAGCCTTTCCTCTAGTCTAGCTAGGTGACGCCTGTTTGGAATTTTCTCAAACTTAAAAAAAATTTTTTTACTTAAGTATCATAATTTTTTTCTTTTTGCAGTGATAAGTGGGGTTGTTTAGTTTCTCTTTCTGAGAATTCTTTATTGCTGTATAAAAAAGCCATCGATTTTGGGGTGTGGATTTTGATCCTGCTACATTCCCAAATTCATTTATTATATCTACTAGTATTTTGGTGGAGTCTTTAGGGTTTCCTATGTACAGTATCATGTCATCTTCGAATAATGAGCTTTACTTCATCCTTTCCAATTTGGATGCCTTTTATTTCCTCTTGTGTGATTGCTGTGGTTATGATTTCCAGTACCGTCTATATATATATAAAACGCTAATATGCAAATAGACCTAACGGCTGAACAACTGAACAACCAGTCACTATGACATTCGCCGACCACGAGGGGGCACACGCAGAACATGTGGGCATTGCAGCAAGCGACAGAGCGTGGAACATGGAGGGCATCGACCACAGCGGGATGGTGGAGCAGGAACGTGGGGACGCCAGACCAAGGCGGGGCACCAGTTGCTGTCATAGGGATGAGCCTCTGCTGGTTCCTGAAAATTCTTTGCTCCCGTGTGCGCCGCGGTTGCTCACATCTGCTGCCGGCGCTGGCCCTGCTCCCACCCACAGCTGGCACCGGAGCCTCCGCTCGCACCTGCTGTCAGCTCCCGGCACAGGTCCTGATTGCTCAGCACCATCAGTGGGTGCAAGTGGCAGCTGCTGGCCCCAATTGCGCCTGAGGTTTTCTCCACCTCCCCCTGCTCCTGAGGGGCAATCGGGGCAGCATTCGCCACTTGCACCCGCTGACAGCACCAGCCAGCGGGTGCGAGCTGGGCTGGCGCCGCCAGTGTTTGGGAGCAGCAACCTTGGCCTGAGCGGCCCTGTAGGCACACAGGGGACCGGGCCGTGATAGGAGGAGCTGGGCGGGGGCATGGAAGATGGGCCAAGACCCGCCCCTGTGCCCACCGCAACCTTTTGGCCCACAGTTTCTTCCAAGGTGCACGAGTTGGTGCCATGGGCGATGCTCTATCTACTGAGCCAAACCGGTTAGGGCTGGGTTTTTCTTTCTTTCTTTTTTTTTTTTTTAAATATATTTTATTGATTTTTTACAGAGAGGAAGGGAGAGAGAGAGTTAGAAACATCAATGAGAGAGAAACATCGATCAGCTGCCTCCTGCACATCTCCTACTGGGGATATGCCCGCAACCCAGGTACATGCCCTTGACCGGAATCGAACCCGGGACCTTTCAGTCCGCAGGCCGAAGCTCTATCCACTGAGCCAAACCGGTTTCGGCTAGGGCTGGATTTTTCTTTTTTTTCTTTTTTTTTTTTTTTTTAAATATATTTTATTGATTTTTTACAGAGAGGAAGGGAGAGAGATAGAGAGCCAGAAACATCGATGAGAGAGAAACATCGACCAGCTGCCTCCTGCACATCTCCTAGGGATGTGCCCGCAACCCTGGTACATGCCCTCGACCGGAGTCGAACCCGGGACCCTTCAGTCCACAGGCCGACGCTCTATCCACTGAGCCAAACCGGTTTCGGCTAGGGCTGGATTTTTCTTATGTTGACAAGAAGCACATGCCAACACCATGGGGCAGCTCTATGAGCCATACTCGATTCTTTTGGCTTCGTGTTTCCTGCTGAATAAATTTTCCCTTGCACTAGAGATCTATGGCTCCGAATTTCTTCTTAGCTGAACTCAAGACTGAGGTTGAGCCCGGCAAACATGGCGCAGTGGTTGAGCATCGACCCATGAAACAGGAGGTGCCATTTCGATTCCCATTCCGGGCACTTGAAAGCAACATCTGCCGTGGGGGGCGAGTAGGAGTCAGCTGATCAATAATTCTCTCTCATCATTGATGTTTCTATCTCCCTCCCTCTCCCTTCTCGTAAATCAGTAACAAAATATATATTTAAAAACTGTTTACTTTGCGGTTTTTTAGAGTTGTTGAGAAAGGAGAGAGAACCATCGCTTTGTGGTCCTACTTATTGACACCTTCATTGGCTGATTCATGAGCCCTCACCCGGGACCCAAGCTCCATTGGGCCCATCGGGAAGGTGTTCTAATCACCCGGGCGTCCTGGTAGGAGCTCCATGAGCGCCTTCTGTGGCCATTTCCCAGGAGTCCCTTGGGCACAGCGACTGCCATGTCCCAGAGTCCCTAGCGGTGGGTCCCAGATTTCCTCCTAGAGCAGCGATTCTCAACCTCCCTAATGCCGCAACCCTTTAATACAGTTCCTCATGTGGTGGTGACCCGCAACCATAAAATTATTTTCTTTTTTAAATTTATTTATTTTTATTTTTTTAAATTATTAGTTAATTTTTGTTGCTACTTCATGACTGTAATGTCGCCACTGTGGTGAATCGTCATGTAAATATCGGATATGCAGCATGTATTTTCATTGTTACAAACTGAACATAATTAAAGCACAGATTAATCACAAAAACAGTATGTAATTATTTTATGTGTTTTCCGATGGTCTTAGGAGACCCCTGCGAAAGGGTCGTTCGACCCCCAACGGGGTCGCGACCCACAGGTTGAGAACCGCTGTCCTGGAGGCTGGTGGGAAAGGCCTGGCCACCACCCCACCTGGACCTCAGAGCCTTATTACCCAGAAGGCCGTCGGTGAAGTGCAGAGCCCTGAGCCAATGAGGGCCCAGAACACGCTTTTCCATAGAGCCCAGCGGGGAGGGCGGGACTTCCGGTTTCTCCCGGTTCGCGCCATTTCTTCCCTCAGGGTCACCTGACTGGGTCGGAGGGAAGGTGGAGGCGCCCGGAGGGGAAGGCGAGAAGGGCCGCTGGTCCCGCCGCCGACGCGGGTTTGGCTCCCCACGCCGCGAGGGACCCGCTCAGGGCGGGACGGGGTCGGGGTCCAGGTCCCGGTCCCGGCCGCTCCGCCCGCAGAGCCCGATGGCCGGGGCCGCGCCCTGGCGCCCGGAGGAGGTGAGCGTGTCCCCGGGGCCTCCCCGCCGCCCCCTCCGACCCTGCAGCCCGGGCCCCGCATCGCGACCGCGAGGCGCTGGGGGGTGACCCCCGGTGTGAGGGGGAGGGAGAGGGTGAGGGGCCGACCGGGGAGCAGCGCAGGGGCCGCTGACCCAGGAGGACGCGGGGTCCTGGGGTCCGTCTTCCCTGCGCCCCGAACAGTGTGGGTCGGAGTCCCGTCTGGTCTGGGAGGCGGAGAGGTTGTGCCTTCGCTCTGAGTGCCCGCGGGGCCGCGGGGGTGTGAACAGGGGGGGCACGGGCTGTGTTGGTTTTTGTAAAATTTTTTACAGAGAGGAAGGGAGAGGGATAGAGGGTTAGAAACATCCATGAGAGAGAAACATCCATCAGCTGCCTCCTGCACACCCCCCACGGGATGAGCCCGCAACCCAGGTACATGCCCTTGACCAGAATCGAACCCGGGACACACACACACACACACACCCACACACCCACACACACCGTCCGCAGGCCGAGGCTCTATCCACTGAGCCAAACCGGCCAGGGCTGTGTTGGGTTTGGAAGGGTTTTCAATGCCCCTGGGAGGGGACAGACTGGAGTGGGGTGTGGACGAAAAGGGGGCCACGTGTTAACCTGTGGGACACAGGGGAGGCCTGCATGGCCACCCTGCAAACCCAAAGACCGGAAGTCACCTCAAAGGATGGTCTGAAATTAAAACTTAGCTAAAAGAAGCCTATGGTGTGTAGCCCTGTCCTAGGCAAGAATCTTCCCTGACAAAGGTCACTGTGATGTTTGTTTAATTTTTTTATTTAAAAAATCTTTATGGTTGAAAGTATAACATATGTCCCCCTTTTCAGCCCATTAACGACCTCCAGGACTCCCGATGGGCAAAAAGGAATTCTCTGGGGCCATAAGCTCCTTCATTGTTATGGTCATTACGTTAATTGTTGACTGTTAACTACCCTTTACCCAGCCACTCACTGGAAGTCTGTGTCTAGCATTTTACTTTTTGTCCCATTCCAGATGATTCCCCTCCCCCCTCACTTTCTCCTGCCTCCCTGATCAATCACCAATGGATTTCACTTAATACACGTACCTCTTCTCCTTTGCATGTAATGTATAATGTATAAAACAAGGTGAGCCCTAACCGGTTTGGCTCAGGGGATAGAGCTTCGGCCTGCGGACTGAAGGCTCCCAGGTTCGATTCCGGTCAAGGGCGTGTACTTTGGTTGCAGGCACATCCCCAGTGGGGGGTGTGCAGGAAGCAGCTGATCGATGTTTCTAACTGTCTATCCCTCTCCCTTCCTCTCTGTAAAAATTCAATAAAATACATTATAGCCGAAACCGGTTTGGCTCAGTGGATAGAGCGTCGGCCTGCGGACTGAAGGGTCCAGGTTCGATTCCCGTCAAGGGCATGTATCTGGGTTGCGGGCACATCCCCAGTGGGAGTTGTGCAGGAGGCGGCTGATCGATGTTTCTCTCTCATCGATGTTTCTGACTCTCTATCTCTCTCCCTTCCTCTCTGTGAAAAATCAATAAAATATATTTTAAAAAAAATAAATAAAATACATTATAAAAAAAAGTAAGAATATAGTTTTACTTTCTTGCTGTGTCACCTTTCTGTGCTTGCAAGCTCACTCTCCCGGCCTTCCCTGAGCCTTTCAGGTTATCTGTTAGGTGGATAGTTTTTGTCCACAACTGCGGCAGAGAAAGGGAGGAGGTGAGGACAACTAAAGGGTTTTTGGTCCTACCAGCCAAACTGATGCTGGCCCTGTCAACTGGGCTGGGGAAGATGGTAGAAGGTTAATTTTGTTGGAGAATTTCAGAAGGTTCTTTTGGTCATTTTTTAGAAATTTCAACAGTGAGTGGAAATATCCAGTGAGCAGCTGGTCACATGGTAGGGGTAGGGTCAGGGTCAGGGGAGGGCTCCGGGATGGATACATGCAAAAGTGGTAGCTTTTTTGTGCACCAGGACAAAGGAGACAGAGCTGAGGGAGGGAACCTGGGGTGTGAAGATGGGAAGCAGCTAGAGGTGACACAGTGGTGTGCAGACTAGAGGCTGTTTGAGCTGATGGTCCTGGGTGCCTGTGTGTGGATCTAAGGGTGAAGCACAGCCCATGTTTTGCTGCGTCCTGCAGGAATGATCTGGGACATCCCAGTGGATTTGCGGGGCAGTAATGATGGAGCCCTTCTGGCAGGGCCCCAAGCTTAGGTGGCATTTACCTTGCCCCCTACCCTCTTTTTCCCGTTGTCCTGCCGGTTGTTGTGAGGGTGATAAGAGTGATTAATGGGACTGTGATGACAGAGCAGGCAGCACTGGCACCAGGGCTGGGTGTCTTCTCAGAACTGTGGGTTGTGGGGAAGAGGAGGATTGTGGGTTCTCAGACAGACTCTTCCTGACTCTGTTGTATTCATTCCAACAGGTTGGTGTAGCCTTTGACAGTGTCGCCATGTACTTCTCCAGGAAGGAATGGCGCCTCCTTGATGAGGCTCAGAGACACCTGTACCTCGAGGTGATGCTGGAGAATTTTGCTCTCGTATCCTCACAGGGTAAGACCATCCTTTCCTGGTGTATTCTTCTTTCAGCACGTCTGCATCCTCCTCCCCCCCTCCCCCTTCCTCAGGATTGTAGTTTTAACTTTTTTCCAAATTTTAAGGCTCCCCACTAGATATGCAACCAGAGGAGCAACGGGCCTTTTCACCCTATCTCCATTTTCCGCTTGTCTCTGACATCCCAGTGAGCTAACAGCAGGCCTGTCCTGACTCACTTCTTCCATTTTTATATTTCTTTATTGGTTTCAGGGAGGAAGGGAGAAGGAGAGAGAGATAGAAACAACAATGATGAGAGAGAATCATTGATCGGATGCCTCCTGCACGCCCCCTATTGGGGATTGAGCCTGCAACCAGGCATGTGCCCTTGGCCGGAATCTAATATGGGACCCTTCAGTCCTCAGGCAAACGCTCTATCCACTGAGCCAAGCCGGCTAGAGCTCATTTTGATCGTCACTTCCCCTTGAGTGAACCGCAGCCCACACTTGGCTCACTGCTTTCCAGTAGCTTTTCCAAGGGGCCAGAGCAGAGCACAGCCCAGGCTCTCTCCTGTTCTCTCCTGTTGCTGCTTCTACCCTAAGTTCTTTCTCCGTTTCTATGTCCTTTGCTTTAAGAAGTGCAGTCTCATAGTCACCTGGACTCCTGTTGACAGATCTTTCCTCTAATTCAAGAACCCACCCAGGATAGTCTGCTCGGAGGCAGACCTACTGCACCCTGGTCCCCTTTTGGTAACACCTTGATGTACCGAGAGAATGTTTCGTGTGTGGCTGGTCAAGAAGGCCTCTGCTGTTGCATTTGGATATAATTCCCTGTATATATTCAGGATTAGAGTTCCTCTCAAGAGGAATCAAACTTCAATAATTGCTTACTCATTTTAGATGGGATGATCTAGACCAGTGGTTCTCAACCTTCCTAATGCCCCGACCCTTTATTACAGTTCCTCATGTTGAGGAGACCCCCAATTTCATTGTTACAGACTGAACATAATTAAAGCATAGTGATCAGTCACAAAAGCAATATGTAATTATATATGTGTTTTCCGATGGTTTTAGGCGACCCCTGTGAAAGGGTCGTTCGACCCCCAAAGGGATCGCTACCCACAGGTTGAGAACCACTGATCTAGACTTTGTGAAAGGAGAATGTTGAAGTTCTCTATTAACCTTTTTTCTGCTTTCAGATCTGATATTATTTGCTTATTGTACTTAGTTTTTCTGTCCTTGGGTGCATATTACATAAGTTTATTATCTTCTTGATTTTTGTTACCTTCATGGGGAAGGTTGTGGCCATGGGGTTTTTGTTGGAATTCACGCCGACATGCTCTGCAGGTTCCTCTGATGTGTAAAGTGTGGTTGGTTTCACCAACGTTGCAGGAGGTACTCCTGATTCCTGAAACAAAGTTTCCAAAGGTCCATCACAGAGCAGGCCACTAGGGGCGCACTAGTGCAAGCTCTGCAGATAACTGAAGCATCTTCAACCCTTGTATATTGACCCCTGCCATTTCCACATGGGTTTGCTCACCCAGTCTGCCACCCCCTCTCTCACTTTACTGCTGCCTACAGAACTTTGGATATGTATATATCTTTGTGTTGACCTGGAACATCATCCACTCCTTTGCAGTTAATTTTTATGGGCTTGTGGACATTCCCATTACTTTTTTTTCTTTCTTTCTTTCCTCTCACATATAATTTTAATTATTTCTGAGAGGAAGGGAGAGAGAGGGAGAAAAATCAGTGATGAGAGAGAATCATGGCCTGTCTGTCTCCTGCAGGTCCCACACTAAAGATGGATTTAAAATTCCAGCTTGTCCCCTGACCAGAAACCAAACTTTAACCTCCTGATTCATAATCAGATGCTCAAGCACTGACCTCCATTGGGTGGGCCACATTCACATTCTAGTACAATGTGTTATGGAATTAGCAGGAAACGTCCTGGAGGGAGCAATTTGCAGAAGAACAGCTAGTAGATTGATCCTCATTATTTTGTGTCCCATCCTATAACCATGTTCCTCTTTTCTTGAATTCCCCTCCTCCCATTTAGTTACCACTTAATGTATAAAAGCCATTTCCTAAGATTCTAAGTCGTTTGTCTTGAAAATCAATACATAGAATTATTCCACGTGCGACAGATGGACATTTGTAATGAGATTATCTTTTTTTCCCCTTTTTAAAATAAATATTTATTGATTTTTATTGCAAGGGAGAGATAGAGAAATGTAATCAATGATGGGAGAGAATCATTGATTGGCTGCCTCCTGAATACCCCTTAATGGCAATGTAGCCCACAACCAGGGCATGCACCCTGAGAAGGAATCAAACCATTACCTCCTGCTTCATAGGCCACCCTCAACCACTGAGACACGACGGCTGGGTGAGATAACCTTTTGCCATAGACTCAACGTGTAATTCACTCAGCGATTCATTTTGTTCAGGTTGCTGCTGTGGAACACTGGGTCTGGAGGCGTCCATTGAACAGAATGTTTCTGTAAGAGTGTCACAGGCCAAGAAGATCAAAGGAACTTTGTCTTCTCAGAAGAACCACCCTTGTGAGAGTTGTGGTGCAGTCTTGAGGGACATTTTCCAGTTTGTTGAGCAACAGGGAACACAACACAGTTCGAAATTCTTGAGGTGTGGGGCATGTGCAAAACCATTTTATTTCAGTGCAAAGTTGCACCAGCACCATGGGCAGGACGTGAGAGCGGAATGTTTGATAAGAGGTATGAACAAGGACTCTCTTGTGAAGAGCAGCACATTCAGTGTGTCCCAGAAGCTTTTTACTGGTCAGGAGGTTGGACACAGCATCCTTACTGCCTCAGGACAACTTCAGAAACAGGCTCCTCTTACCAGGGACAAACCAAGCGAACTTTCCTTGTCTGGGGTAACATTTCAAAACGGGGGAAAATTCCTTTGCCAGAAAGAATCTGAAAAAGCCATTGGCTGCAACGACACACTTGTTCCAGACCGAGCTGTCTATACTGGAAGGCAGTGTGTTGTGAGCCCTGAAAGTAAAAACTGTTTTAAAGGAATCCCTGACCTTCGTAATGATCAGAAAGTCCACTCATTGGAAAAGCCATATGAATGCAGTGAGTGCGGGAAATGTTTTAGAGATCGGTGGATCCTTATCCAACACAGTCGAGTTCACGCTGGAGATAAGCCTTATGAGTGTGGTGAATGTGGGAAATTCTTTAGCCAAAGTTCCAGCCTCATTCAACATCAGAGAATTCACACTGAACAAAAGCCATATGAGTGTAGTGAATGTGGAAAATATTTTACCAGAATGTATAGCCTTCATCTTCATACAAGAATTCACTCTGATGAAAGGCCTTATAGGTGCACTGAATGTGGGAAATCTTTTTCCAGAATATCCAACCTTCGTCGTCATCAGAGAGTTCACACGGGAGAAAGGCCATATGAGTGCAGTGAATGTGGGAGAACTTTTTGCAGTGCCGCTGGACTGAATTATCATCAGAGGGTTCACCCTGGGGAAAGACCTTATGAGTGCACAGATTGTGGGAAATCATTTACCGGTAGGTCTGGACTCCTGTATCATCAGAGTGTTCACACTGGGGAACGGCCATATGAGTGCAGGGAATGTGGGAAATCTTTTACCAGAATATCCCACCTTCGTCGTCACCAGAGAGTTCACACGGGAGAAAGGCCATATGAGTGCAATGAATGTGGAAGAACGTTTTGCAGTGCCGCTGGACTTTATTATCATCAGAGCGTTCACACTGGGGAAAGACATGAGTGCGCAGATTGTGGGAAATCATTTGCCGGTAGATCTGGACTCCAGTATCATCAGAGAGTTCACACTGGGGAACGGCCATATGAGTGCAGGGAATGTGGGAAATCTTTTCTGTATGGCTCTGCACTCCGTCGCCACCAGAGCGTTCACACTGGAGAAAGGCCTTATGAGTGCATTAATTGTGGCAAATCTTTTATAAGGAAAACTCATCTTCTTCAGCATGAAAGTTCACACGGGAGAAAGGCTCTTTGAGTGCTATGAATGTGGGTGATCTTTTAGCCAAAATCCTAACTTCTGGACACATGAGAGTACACCTTAGAGTAAGTTCTTAGATGTGTAGGAAATGTACTTTCTTTGTTCCGTGTTAAGCACACTGGAGGAAACTCAGGCTTCAGTTTTCTGACTTTCATCTCATAAATCCCGTCCTCAACAGTAGGAAGATTTTCCATAATGTTTAGTTACATGGGAAGCATGCTAACCTGCTTATGTTATACATTCTAACCTGCCCAGGGCTTAGTGCAGATTTATATCACTGCAAATTTCTGTGACAGAATCCATTTTACCTGTACAAACAATGAGCAGGTCCCCACAGTTTTCATCAGTCACCATCCTATTGTCCTCAGGTAAGCTGACTTTGTTCTCTTATTAGTTAAAGGAAATTAGGAGTAACGGTGAGTCCTTAGGAGATCTGCATTTCATTTGCTCTGTTTGGGACCTTACCCATTGTTGACCCCAGAGAACATCATCTGAGTTCAGCTGGCAGCTTCCAGGAAAAAAAAAAAATATTTTTAAGAAGATGATTGATAATTTTGTAGATACCTCTGGTGAATATTACCACTCTTGATGCCACTATCAGAAGATTGCTTGGGTCGATGTCCTTTGGGTTTTTAACATAATAAAAACCTTTTTGTTTTAAATCCTCTCTAATTTTGGATGTTTTCTTTGTGGGGTAGTTTGTAAGCATATTTGGGCTCTACAAGTATGAAGACGTGAACAATTTTTACTCTGGTCTCAACCTTTCTCTACCTCCAAGGGTAGAGTATGATGGGGGAATTAGCTCAGCACGTTTCACCGAATTTGCATTGCTTACCCCCTTCCTTTTAGGAAAGACTGCAGAGTTTTCCGGTACTCGTGAGAAGCCTGAATCCTATGAGTTTTCGAAGACTTAGACATCCTTTCAAAACTTAGCTGTTGTGACAACTTCACCTGCTTCTAGGATCAGCAGGAATTTTGTTTTTCACACAGGCTATGCCAGTACTTTTGTTGTTGTAAATCATCACGTGGCAACATCTATTCCATTGACATCTCGAGACAGTGGAAACAAGCGAGGGAGAGAGAAAAATCAGTGTGAGAAACAGACACATCCATTGAACCTACAACTCATTTATGTGCACTTGAGTAGGAATCTAACCCAAAACACATCGAAATCAGGGCCGATGCGCTCACCAGTCACACAGGCCAGGGCTATGCCAGTCCATGTGAATGGGATTTCTCTTTAAGGTTTTACAATGGGCCAACTGTCTTAATCACTACAATTCCATGGGTGGTGATCACTGGTTTTAGGACCATATTGGTTACAGAATGATTGCTACAGAATCACTAGCCCAATCGGAATTGGAGAATCCTGTAGCCACAGCTACATGGAATCTGCCTCTTCTATACATGCATCCAGAAACGTTTCTGTGAAAAAGACAAGATCAGTGAATTCACAAATAAGAGGATCTCCAGATATGTTTATCTTCTGTGGTCAAAGTCTTTGTCCTTGAAAATAAAGAGTTTCATGGATTTCTGTACCTTACTAGATGTTTGCTTAATGGTCATAGTGCCTAGGAAGGAAATGAAAGATTAAAAAAAAGTGGCATCTATAGACCAAGGATGTAGCTTTTGAGACCCAGCCAGTATTTTTGTTGACTTTGATGAAAGTCCCTCATTCCTTGGTATATTTGATGTCACTGAAACAATATTTGACCTCCAGAGGCTATGAGAACCTGGATTGAGTAGAGAGATACCAAACCTATTTTCTAAAAGTTGGACATGCAAAACTTTTTAAAATTTTTGAACCATTTTTCAAAAGGTTTAATTAGTGAAGAACATATTTCATTTATAGTATTTGATGAGTCTCGACATGTGCATGAAACTGAAACCATCACTATGGTTATAGAATTACCAATATCTGTCACTGAGTTTACTTCATGTCTTATCATTTCACTCTTTCTTTGTACTAGTAATGGCATCTGTGTGCTCTTGTCTCCAACCCCATACGACTCCTTTCTTTACTAATCTATACAAGGGACATAACTGCTGAACTAGATGGGCAATAAAAGGCCTCCAACCCTGGACAGTGTTGCACAATGGATTGAGCATTTTCTTATGCACCAAGAGGTCACTGGTTCAATTCCTGATCAGGGCAATGCCCAGTTGGAGTCTTGATCCCCAGAAGGTGGTGTGCAGAGGGAAGTCAATATTTCAGTATGAGCCTAACCGGTTTGGCTCAGTGGATAGAGCATCGGCCTGCGGACTGAAAGGTCCCAGGTTCGATTCCGGTCAAGGGCATGTACCTGGGTTGTGGGCATATCCCCAGTAGGAAATGTGCAGGAGGCAGCTGATCGATGTTTCTCTCATCATCGATGTTTCTAACTCTCTCCCTTCCTCTCTGTAAAAAATCAATAAAATATATTTAAAAAACAAAACAAAACACCAGTAGCAACTGGCATTCGTTTGCACCAACGGCTCTAGCAAGTTAATTTCACCTGAGGAGGGTGTCTTAGGAACCTCTGATGTATAGTAACTTTTATTTTTATTTTTTAAAATATTTTTTTATTGGTTTTAGAAAGGAAGTGAGACAGAGAGAGATAGAAACATCAATGCTGAGAGGGAATCATGGATCAGCTGCCTCCTGCACGCCCCCTATTGGGATCAACCCCGCAACCTGGGCATGTGCCCCGACCAGGAATCAAACCGTGACCTCCTGATTCATAGGTCAACGCTCAACCACTGAACCATGCCGGCCGGGCTATAGTATCTTTTAAATTCTTATTATTTCTAAATTTTTGGTTATTGATTTGAGAAAGAGGCGGAAAGAAACGTTGACTTTTTGTTGTTGCTGCTCCATTTTAAAAATATATTTTTTTATTGATTTCAGAGAAAAAGGGAAAGAGAGAGACAAATGAGGAGAGTATCATTGAGCTCCTGCCTCCTGCTCGCTCCCTCCTAGGGATTGAGCCTGGAACCCGGGCATGTGCCTTAGACCAGAATCAAACATGGGGCCCTTCATTACACATCTATCCACTAGGCCAACCTAGCTAGCCCCCCCCCCCTTTTTTTTTTAAATCCTCACCAGAGGATATGTGTATTGATTCTTCCTGAGAAGAATGGAGAAACATTGATAGGTTGACTTCCCTATGTGCCCCAACTAGGGATCAAATCTGCAAACCAGGTATGTGCCCTGACTCAGAACCGAACCCGTAAACTTGTCTTGTACAGAAGGTTGCTCCAACTGAGTCACTCAGCCAGGGTTTCTCCCACTTATTGATCCACTCACTGGTAGATTCTTGTATGTGCCCTGACCAGAGATCAAACCCACCACTTGGCAATTTGGGATGACACTCTAACCAACTGAGGGACCCGGCCAAAGCTAAATTTTCATTTATTCACATTAGAGAAGATGTCAGAGAGTGAAAGAGAAAAACATCAATTTGTTGTTCCATTTATTTATGCTTGTATGTGCCCTGACCGGAGCTCGAACCCATAACCTTGGCATATCAAGAAGACACTCAAATGAGTTTACACAGCCATAATTGATTTATAGTGTTAAAAAACAAAATTCGCCCTGACCGGCTTGGCTCAGTGGATAGAGCGTTGGCCTGCAGACTCGAGGGTCCCGGGTTCGGTCCTGGTCAGGGGCATGTACCTGGTTGTGGGCACATCCCCAGTAGGGAGTGTGCAGGAGGCAGCTGATCAGTGTTTCTAACTCTCTATCCCTCTCCCTTCCTCTCTGTTAAAAAAATCAATAAAGTATGAAAAAAATTTTAAGATGTTCTAAAAAAACATTAAAAAATCAACATATATATGTTTAAAAATAGCCTGTTGTTCTGAAGCACAGACAACATGTGGGCTTTCCATTTGCATTTAAGGAGAGGGTCGCGAACAGACTTGTGGGGCTGAGCCCCAGTAACCAGTCTCCAGGTGGGTGGGGTCAGAATGGAGCGTTTGCTGCAGTTACCCAGGAGCCAGCCCTTCCCTCCGGGAGCAGCACCACTTTGCAGCAGCGGTTCTCAACCTTCCGAATGCCGCGACCCTTTAATACAGTTCATGTTGTGGTGACCCCCAATTTCATTGTTAAAATTGAACATAATGAAAGCATAGTGATCAATCACAAAAACAATATGTAATTATAGATGTGTTTTCCATGGTCTTAGGCAACCCCTGTGAAAGGGTCGCTGGACCCCCGAAGGGGTCGCGACCCACAGGTTGAGAACCGATGCCAGGATCCCTCCAGGGGCTAATGTCCTAGTTGCTCACAATAGCGAGCCTGTGGCCTCTGGACCGCCTGGAACTACATTACCCAGAAGGCCGTGCGCGGTGTCCCGCTCGGGAGAGACCGGCAGGAAAGCATTTCCGGGATTTTTCCACCTGACTTCCGGCCTCCTCCGGTTGAACCTCTTCGGTCTTCGGAGTTCTCTGTGGGGTTTTGAGGCGACGGAACAGAGGAGGCGCGGCCCCCGCCGCACAGACGGGCGGACGGAGCCCCGAGGACCCGCGACCCCGCGAGGCAACCGCTTCCGGGCGGGAGGGGACCGCCCGCCGCCCCCGCCCGCTGAGCTCCATGGCGGAGGCCGCGCCGGGGCGCCCGACTGAGGTGAAAGCGCACCCGGGGCCTCCCCGCCTCCCTCACCCAACCCCGCAGCCAGGGGTGGGGGTGGGGGCGCCCTTCCCCTCCTGCAGCTCGGGCCCCGCGTCAGGACAGCGAGGCGCCCGTGGGTGACACCGGAGTGATGGAGGAGGGAGGGGTCGGGGCTGAGGGTTCCCCGGGGAATACTGAGTGGGAACACCCCGCGAGCACCTGCACGCGTGGGGCTGAAATCGGGGAGGGAGGCCCGGGATGGAGGCTTGCAAATGTGGGAGCTCCTGCCCTGGCCTGTGTTGCTCAGTGGGTAGAGCGTCAGCCTGTGGACTGAAGGGTCCCGGGTTCGAGTCTGGTCAAGGGCATGTACCTGGGTTGCGGGCACATCCCCAGTGGGGGGCGTGCAGGAGGCAGCAGATCCATGTTTCTCTCTCATCGATGTTTCTAACTCTCTGTCCCTCTCCCTTCCTCTCTGTAAAAAATCAATAAGATATATTTAAAAAGATAAGGGGGAGATCAACCAAAGGCCTTGTATGCATGCCTCTCTGCCTGACCAATGGACACAGACACGGGGTGGGGCACATGAGTGGAGATAAAAACACATAGGTAATAATTTTTAAAAAATATATTTTAATTGATTTTTTACAGAGAGGAAGGGAGAGGGATAGAGAGTTAGAAACATCATGAGAGAGAAACATCCATCAGCTGCCTCCTGCACACCCCCCACTGGGGATGTGCCCGCAACCAAGATACATGCCCTTGACCGGAATCGAACCCGGGACCCTTCAGTCCGCAGGCTGACGCTCTATCCACTGAGCCACACCGGTCAGGGCCACATATGTAATAACTCAATCAATCAAGAAATTTTTTTAAAAAGTGGTAGCTCTTGGGGGAGAGATCAACCAAAGGACTTATGTGCATGCTTACAGGCCTAACCAATGGACACAGACCACAGAGGGGTGAGGGCATGAGTGGGGGTTTGGAGGGGAGGCAATGTGGGGATAAGGACACATCCTATATAATAAACGGCTAAGATGCAAATTGACCGAACAGCAGAATCACTGGTTGCTATGATGCATACTGACCACCAGGGGGCAGACACTCAACGCAGGAGCGGCCCCTGGTGGTCAGTGCACTCCCGCAGGGGGAGTGCTGCTCAGCCAGAAGCCCTGAGTTGGGCTCACAGCTGGCCAGTGCAGTGGCGTTGGCGGCACCCTCTCCCACCTCCAGACTGCGAGGGCACAGGCCAGGCTGAGGGACCCCGACCCCCCCCCCCCCCATGCACAAATTTTTTGCACCAGGTCTCTAGTATGTAATAATTAAATCAATAAAGAAAATTTTAAAAAACTGGTAGCTCTTTTGTGCACCAGGACAAAGGAGACAGAGCTGATGGAGGGAACCTGGGGTGTGAAGATGGGAAGCAGCTGGAGGTTACACAGTGGTGTGCAGACTAGAGGATGTTTGAGCTGATGGTCCTGGGTACCTGGTGTGTGGATTTATTTTAAAAAATAAATTTCTTTATTGATTTCAAAGAGGAAGGGAGAAGGAGATAGAGATAGAAACATCCATGATGAGAGAGAATCATTGATCGGCTGCCTCCTGCACACCCCCTATTGGGGATCGAGCCCGCAACCCGGGCATGTGCCTTTGGCCGGAGTCGAACCCGGGACCCTTCAGTCCACAGGCTGACACTCTAGTCACTGAGTCAAGCCGGCTAGGGCTGGAGTGTGGATCTAAGGGTGACACACAGCCCATGTTTTGCTGCGTCCTGCAGGAATGACCTGGGACATCCCAGTGGATTTGCGGGGCAGGAATGATGGAGCCCTTCTGGCAGGGCCCTTAGGTGGCATTTACCTGCCCCCCTACCCCCCTTCCCCTTGTCCTGCCTGTTGTCGTGAGGGTGATAAGAGTGGTTAATGGGGCTGTGAAGACAGAGCAGGCAGCCCTGGCACCAGGGCTGAGTGTCTTCTCAGAACTGGGGGCCCTGGAGGTGGTGGATTGTGGGGAAGAGGAGGATTGTGGGTTCTCCAACGGGCTGTTCCTGACTCAGATGTATTCATTCGGACAGGTCGGTGTGGCCTTTGAGGATGTCGCCGTGTTCTTCTCCAGGACAGAATGGCGCCTCCTTGCTGAGGCCCAGAGAGGCCTCTACCTCGAGGTGATGCTGGAGAATTTCGCTCTCGTATCCTCACAGGGTAAGGCCATCACTCTCCTGGTTCCTTTTTTGCGCTCGCCCGCACCCCCCTTAACTCAGGATTGTACTTTGTTTCTCCTGTTTGAAGCTCTGAGGGTTTTGAGGAGACTTGCCCCCAGGCAGCTATGGGCAGCGGCAACTACCCTTTGGCTAACCCTGATCTGTTCTTTTTTTTAAATATATTTTTAAAAATATTTTTAATTGTTTTTTACAGAGAGGAAGGGACAGGGATAGAGAGTTAGAAACATCAATGAGAGAGAAACATCAGTCAGCCGCCTCCTGCACACCCCCAACTGGGGATGTGCCTGAAACCAAGGTACATGCCCTTGACCGGAATCGAACCTGGGACCTGTCAGTCCACAGGCCGACGCTCTAGCCATTGACCCAAACCGGTCAGGGCTTTTAATTGATTTTTTACAGAGAGGTGGGGACAGGGATAGAGAGTTAGAAACATCGATGAGAGCCCTGACCAGTTTGGCTCAGTGGATAGAGCGTCGGCCTGCGGACTCAAGGGTCCCAGGTTCGAATCTGGTCAAGGGCATGTCCCTTGGTTGCAGGCACATCCCCAGTAGGGGGTATGCAGGAGTCAGTTCATGGATGTTTCTAACTCTCTATTCCCTCTCCCTTCCTCTCTGTAAAAAATCAATAAAATATATTTTAAAAAGAAAAAGAAAAGAATCATCGATGAGAGAGAAACATCGATCAGCTGCCCCCTGCACACCCCCTCCTGGGGATGTGCCCACAACCAAGATACATTCCCTTGACCGGAATCGAACCCGGGACCTGTCAGTCCACAGGCCAAACCGGTTAGGGTTCCTCATCTGTTTTTAAGGTTCCTTCTTTTTTCCTCCTTGTCCTAAAGTTTAACAAACTTTCACTTCGACAACAAAAAAAGACCCCCTCTCCCTAGGGACCTGGACTTGGCCTCACATTTCCTCCTACCGCCTTTCGTGAAAGGGTGCTTGGTTCTCACATGTGTGCTGTGGGCCCCACTCCGGGCAGTGGCTGTGTTTGGTTGGGCTTGGTTATTGGCAATCCCCTTTTCTCTGACTGCAGCCCTAATCCCTACTGTACTCATATAATCTCCCAACAACTCATGATGCTTTGTGGTTCAAAGTGGTGTCAGGTGTTATGTCTTTCATTTCTGTTTTTGTTTACTTGAATCTTGTTTCTCCTGTTTTAGTCTAACTAATGTTTTGCCAATTTTGTGCATCTTATCAAAAAACAGCTCCCCCTACCTGGTGTTGCTCAATGGTTAGAGCATCGGCCTAGGACTCCAAAGATCTCGACTTCAGTTCTTGGTCAAGGGCATGTACCTGGGTTGTGGGCTCATTTCCCGTCCCCTGTAGGAGTCCACCAGTCAATGTGTCTCACATCTGTGTTTCTATTTCCTCTCTCCTCCTCCCTCCCTCCCTTGCACTCTCTCTGAAGCAATGGAAAAAATATCCTCAGGAAAGAATTAACAAACAAAGGAACAAAAAAACCAAAAACATCAAAAAAAAGTTAGTAGAAGCATCGGTGATGAGTGGGAATCATTGATTGACTGCCTCCTACAGGCCCCACATTGAGGATCGATAGCTCAACCCCAGCATGTCCCCGAACCAGGAATTAAACCTTTACTTCCTGGTTCGTAGCTCAACACACAACCACTGAGACATGCTGGCTGGGCCACATTCACATTCTTGTACAAAGTCTCATCGAACTAGCAAGAAATGTCCTGTAGGAAGCCATGTGCAGAGGAACAGCTAGTAGATCCTTCCTCGTTGTGTATCATTCTAGACCATGTTACTCTCTTTGTGGATTCCTCCCCCGCCCCATTTAGGGACCAGTTAATGTATAAAAGCCATTTTCTCAGATTCTAAGACGTGTTTTGAACATCATTCAATAGAATCATGCCTTGGTGTGATAGATGGACATTTATGATGAGATTTCCATTTTTTTTTTCTTTTTAAAATATATTTTCATTTATTTCAGAGTGGAAGAAAGAGGGAGAGAGTGAGAGAGAGAAACATCCAGGACGAGAGAGAATCATTGTTTGGCTGCCTCCTACAAGCCCCTGACAGGGGATTAAGCCCACAATCCAGGCATGTGCCTTGACTGGGAGTCAAATCCTCACCTCCTGGTCCATAGGTCGAACCACTGCGGGCCGGCAAGATTACCTTCTGCTATAGGACCAACATGTAATTCACCAGGCTTTCCTTTTGTTCAGGTTGCTGCTGTGGCAGTCAGGATCTGGAGGCGTCCACTGAACAGAGCGTTTCTGTAAGAGTGTCACAGGCACAGAAGACCAACGTAGCTTTGTCTTCCCAGACGAGCCATCCCTGTGAGTGTTGTGCTGCAGTCTTGAGGGACATTTTCCAGGTGGTTGAGCAGCAGGGAACGCAATATAGTATGACACTGCTGAGGTGTGGTGCATGTGCAAAATCATTTTATTTTAGTACACAGCTTCACCAGCACCATAAGCAGCACGTGAGAGCAGAGTGTTTGATAAGAGGTGTGGACAGGGCCTCACTTGTGAAGAGATGCACCTTCAGTGTGTCCCAGAAGCTTTTTACCTGTCAGAAGGTCAGAGAGAGCATCCTTACTGCCTCCGGACAACTCCAGCACCAGGCTACTCATCCCAGGACGAAACCAAGTGAAACCTCCATGTCTGGGGTGACATTGCAAAACAGAAAAAGCTACCATAGCAAGAAAGACTGTAAAAAAGCCATGAGAGGCAACGACACACTTGGTCTAGATCAAGCTGTCCATACTGGAAGGCAGTGTTTTGTGGGCACCGAAAATAAAAAATATTTTAAAGAAATCTCTGGACTTAATTGTCATCAGAAAGTTCCCTCATTGGAAAAGCCATATGAGTGCCGTGAGTGTGGAAAATGTTTTAAAGAACACTGGATCCTTATTCAACACTGTCGAGTTCATTCTGGAGAAAAGCCTTATGCGTGTGGTGAATGTGGAAAGTCCTTTAGCCAAAGTGCTGGCCTCACTAGACACCAGAGAGTTCACACTGGAGAAAAGCCATATGAGTGTGGTGAATGTGGGAAATCCTTCAGCCAAAATTCCAGCCTCATTCACCACCAAAGGGCTCACACTGGAGAAAAGCCTTATGAGTGTGGCGAATGTGGGAAAACCTTTACCCAGTGTTCCAGCCTCATTGAACACCAAAGGGTTCACACTGGAGAAAAACCTTTTGACTGTAGCGAATGTGGAAAGTGTTTTACCAGAATAGCCTGCCTTCGTCGTCATCGGAGACTTCATTCTGCTGAAAGGCCTTATGGGTGTAATGAATGTGGAAAATCTTTTAAGAGGAAATCTCTCTTTTGTTATCATCAGAGATTACACACTAGACAAAGTTTGTATGAGTGCAGTGAATGTGGGAAATCTTTTATCCATAGCTCTGGACTCCATTATCACCAGAGAGTTCACAACGGAGAAAGACCTTATAAGTGCACTAATTGTGGGAAATCTTTTATCAGGAACTGTGACCTTCATAACCATGAGAAACTTCATACTGGAGAACGACCCTTTGAGTGCAATGACTGTGGGAAATCTTTTATCAGGAACAGTGACCTTTATAAACATCAGAGAGTTCACACTGGAGAAAAACCATATAAGTGCAATGATTGTGGGAAATCTTTTACCCATAGCTCTGGATTCCATTATCATCAGAGAGTTCACAGTGGAAAAAGACCTTATGAGTGCACTGATTGTGGGAAATCTTTTATCAGCAATTGTCATGTGCGTACTCATCAGAGTTCACATAAAAGAAAGGCTTTTTGAGTGCTGTGAAGGTGGGTAAATTTAACAAAAATTCTAGCCTCAGGACAAATGAGCTTACACATTAGAGGAAATTTTTAGATGTGAAGGAACTGTAGTTTCCTTGTTCAGTGTTAACAACACTGAAAGAAATTCAGGCTTCAGATATCGGACTTTCAGCTCATAAATCCCAACCTCAACAGTAGGGAGATTTTGCATAAAGTTAGTTGTTGTATGCTTGTTTCCCCTCGTCCCACGTGGTTCAGGGTTCAGGATCTGGAAGAGGAGCAGCACACAAATGAAAGAGAAGAGACAAGAGCTCATTTGGAAATATTGGGGGGCCAGGTGGGCAAGTCCAACTCAAGGGGAAGGATCTCCACCGGTGCCCAGGCCTCGCCAGCCTTTTATTCAGCTTTGGTTAAACATAAAGCCCTTAGGCTGGTAATTGCAGTAGCAGACAGGGTATCTTAAAGGTCAGTAAATATTAGAAGGAATGCCGAAACCGGTTTGGCTCAGTGGATAGAGCGTCGGCCTGCAGACTAAAGGGTCCCAGGTTCGATTCCGGTCAAGGGCATGTACCTGGATTTCGGGCATATCCCCAGTGGGAGATGTGTGGGAGGCAGCTGATCGATGTTTCTCTCTTGTCGATGTTTCTAACTATCTCTCTCCCTTCCTCTCTGTAAAAAATCAATAAAATATATTTTTAAAAAATATATTAGAAGGATTTACTCTGAGACTATTTGATCAGGAAATAGCTTGAGCCCCCATTGTCAGGACGAGACAATCGGTGCATACCTCAGGCCCTGCCATGGGTACAAGGGTCACCAGCCTTCTGGGATCCTTGTTTGCACTTCTCTGCTAGTGAAGACAGTGGGTGGCGTCCTGCATCTCCCGCATCTCCCCTGTTTCTTTTCCTTAATAATTCTTGAAAGGTGACTGCTGCCTGAAGGGTTCGAGTCCTTTTAAGACTCTTCATTCCGCATCTGCAGACTAGAAATAAGCATATGAGAACAAAAATGAGACACGCAATAGTGGTTATGCTGAGAGGCAAATGTACTGAGATCCAACGAAAGGGGTTGAATTCTTTCATGTCCTTTTTAAATTGTTGCCAGGCATCTAAGGAATTGGTAAGTTTGCCTTGGATAATTGTACAATATGCTGTTGTAATTCTACAATATCAAGGGTTGTGTTACCTTTACCCCAAGTACCAAGAAAGTGATTTTTTTACTGATTCCCAAGGGTGCAAGGTACTATTATAAGGAACAGGGGTAACACAAATCTGAGAAAAATTATAATGACACTGCAAGGATATTCTTTGCTCTAGGCCGTGGATTTTATCACCCATCCACAGGACTGTAGACGTCAGTGCTGTCAAGTCAGTCTCAAACTGGCTGTCAATTTTCTTTTGTATAGACAAGGTCTTAGTTACATTTTCCTTAACTTGTTGCACAAACTGAGAAGTTTGAACAGTTTGTACCATGGATGAAGCAGAGATGCCCACAGAAGTAAGTAACATTACGAGGGCAAAGATTCCTGCAATTAACATTCCAAGAAATCTTTTTTGTCTTTTTAAGCTTCTTACCAGATCATGTAACAGTTGGTAGGTTTGATGAGATTCCCAAGGCTTGGTTATGTTAGTAGGAACCCAAGTGAAAGCTGGTTGTTTTAAAATCATAAGGGAGTCCGTCTGGAATGTATAATTAATGCAATGGGATAGGGTGAAGCTTGTGCATGACACTTCATATAGATGGCTTGTAACATTAAGGTGCATCTGGATGGGGCCTGAGAGGAGTACAAACGGATCAAACACACAGGCAGTGGCAAATACTGTCTTATTAGGAGTTCCCCATAAGGTATGAATGGAATTATCTGAGCCATAATGAAAACTATACCATTTGATAGGTGCAAATGCAGCAGCTAATTTCCATTGCGTATTTTGTAGGGGCCAATTGTCATGTTGTAGTTGAGATCCAACAAATCCTCCTCCACGCCATAAAACCGGGTGATTAGCTTTAACATATAGACAAGATGTGTTCCCCTCCCATTTTAGGATGCAATTGTTACTATATGCAGACCCGTGTGGGCTCCAATCCACAAAGGAAAAACTGTTATTAAGTTTGCTGCTGGTGGGGTGGTCACTATAGTAGTCTTGCCAATAATTTCTTCCTCAGTGAGGTGCCATTCGTAAGACTTTATACATAATGGCTTAGTCGGGGGGTGACTTAGTACAGTTACATTTTCTGCACCTCTCCCCGAGCAAGGAGTGATAGTATTGGGGCACCTTCTTCCCCTTCCTTTGGTGTCCATGCAAACCAGAAGCCTCTCTCTAATTTTACACACCAAGGAGCAGTGGTTTGATTCTGTGTAATACAAGAGGGAAGCTGGGTGGCGACACCCGTGTAATTATACTTTGCCCGTATACTTCCTTGTCCCACCCGTGGTCCTCCTGGATGACCAAGGCGTTTGGTATTATTGGTGACCACATTACCAGCCCACGTAAGGGGTCTCACCCATGGTGGGTCAGGAACCTAAGTCCAGAATACTTGCCCATTTGCCCCTGGTAATATTACGGCACAGCTGATTACTGCTAGCATGTTCTCGGGCGTTCTTGGGGTTTTGGTCTCCTCACAAATTCGCTCAGATTTCTGGACTGTCTTCTTCACCATGCCCCAGGTGACCTCTGGGCTGTTTGCTGTCTTTCTCGTCCTCCTCCCACTCCTTATCTTCAGTGGATTGTTTGAAGCTGCTGCTGTCTGCGGCTGGCTGGGTTAGTTGATTGTCTGCAGCTGTAAAGCATGGCTCCAGGTGCAGGGTTCTCATTAACCTGGCCAGTTCCTCCCTTGGATCCATGTTGAAGTCTAATATTCCTTGCGGGAATCCACACGGGCTTGGAGAAATTCTCTGGAAATACACAAGCGTACCCTCGGCCGAATGTTAAGAGGGGATCGGGGCCCTTCCATAACCCAGACTTAGGATCTTTCCATTTAACCAGACGGTTTTCCTTTGACTTATTCTGACATCAGTGTGTACTTCCATGGGGGTCTTGCCATCAGCATCACAAGTGAAAAAATTTAAAGTAATTAAAGCTTGGTGTAGTCTACTTACAGGCGATTTCTCCATAATCCCCCCTTTTTGCTGCTGAACTGAGGTCAAGTCGTCACCTGGTGTCGGTTTGCCACCAAGGGCTCTAGCAAGTTAATTTAACCTGGGGAGAGCTTCATAGGATTTTGAAAATTCTTATTTCTCTATTTTTACTTATTAATTTTAGAGAGGGTGAGAGAGAAACATTGATGTTTTTGTTGTTGCTGTTAAACTTTGTTGTTTTAATCCTCACCCAGGGATATGTTTATTGGTATTTGGAGACAGGAAGGGAAGGGAATAAGTATTGTTTTGTTCACGTCCCTGTGTGCCCTGACTGGGGATCAAACCTGCAAACCAGGTAATGTGCTCTGACTGGGAATTGAACCCGCAAACATTTGGTGTACAGGACGATACTCCAACCACCTGAGCCACTCAGCCATGGCTTCTTCCAGTCACTGATGCAGTCACCGGGAGGTTCTTGTGTGTACCCTGACCGGAGATCAAACCCACCACCTTGATTCTAACCAACTGAGGTCCTCGGCCAAAGCTAAATTTTTATTTATTTACTTTAGAGAGAGTGTGAGAGAGTGAAAGAGAGAAACATCAATTTGTGGTTCCATTTCTTTATATTTTCATTGTTTGATGCTTGCGTGTGCCCTGACCAGAGATCTAAACCACAATATTGGTTTATCAGGTTGACACTCTACGTGATTTACCTGGCCACAGTTGATTTATAGTGTTAAAAACAAACAACAGCCCTGAACGGTTTGGCTCAGTGGATAGAGCATCAGCCTATGGACTGAAGGGTCCAGGGTTCGATTCCAGTCAAGGGCATGGACCTTGGTTTCGGGCACATCTCCATTAGGGGGTGTGCAAGAGGCAGCTGATTGATGTTTCTCTCTCATCGATGTTTCAAACTCTCTATCCCTCTCCCTTCCTCTCTGTAAAAAATCAATAAAATATATTTTAAAAAACCAACAACAACAACAAATAGAACTTGCCTGGCCTGGGTTGCTCAGTATTTGAGTGACAATCCATGAACCAGGAGGCCATGGTTCTATTCCAGGAAAAGGCACATGGCCCATGTGGGCTCAGTCCCGTGTGTGGGGCCTGCAGGAGGCAGCCAACCAGTGAGAGAAGCACCAGCCAAGGCCCTGCCGGCTGTAGGAGATGCTCTCCCGCAGGGAGTGGCTGCTCCCAGGGGGTGGGGTCGGCGCCAGGGCCAGAGAGCATCCGGAGTGGCCAAGTGAAGGGCAGCCAGGTGAGGGGCGGGCGTCGGCCACCTCCCCAGTGAGGAAGTCCCGGAGTCTGCCTGTGCGTCCATCTGCCCACCGGTTGTCCGGAGCCCAGTCCTTGCTTGTCTAAAGCCGTCAGTAGGACTCCTCCCGCCGCTGGCCCTATAGAGTGACTTTCTCAGGGGACGCTTACCTGGTGCCCGGAAGGGGCGGGGCCAGGCGCAAATATTGGGAGATCCGGGGACCCAAAGCCGGATGACCACGCACCTCCCATGCGACTGCCTCCCTCCCCGCTCCTTAATGCATTAGGAACCAAAGTGTAAACTGAGTCAGCAGCCCCCCAGCGCCCTCCCTCCACTCCCACCCTGCTGAGCGCTCTGGCAGATGGACAGGGGCCCAGTCCAAACCCTAGCGCTCTCATCCCGGCCCCCAAGGGCTGCCCCCCCGCCACCAAGAACTGCTGGAGAGACATTCAGGCCCGGTGGACAATGGGCGGGCAAGAGGGCAGAGTGGCCCTGGGGCGAGCTTGGTTCGGGAACTGGACCTTCTGTTAGCACGTGGTGGCCGCAGCTAACGGAGGGGGAGAGAGGCCGGTGTCAATGCTGTACTGGTTTACAGCGTGTGCTTTTTTTTTTTTTAAATATATTTTATTGATTTTTTACAGAGAGGAAGGGAGAGGGATAGAGAGCTAGAAACATTGATGAAAGCGAAACATCGATCAGCTGCCTCCTGCACACCTCCTACTGGGGATGTGCCCGCAACCAAGGTCCATGCCCTGGACTGGAATCGAACCTGGGACCTTTCAGTCCCAGGACGACGCTCTATCCACCAAGCCAAACCCATTCCGGCTACAGCGTGTGCTTTTGATACCTGCAATGAATTCAGATGTTTTACGCAACCAAGGACTAACCCAGACTTCCTGCCTCTGTGCTCTCAATCCGCTTAACTGTTCAAGAGGCGCCCGCGGGTCCATGGCCGAAGCCTGGGTCGCCAGCTCACAGCCCTGTGTCCCTCCGTCCCTCCCTTGGTCAGAATGCTTTCGCTGGGTGGTCTCGGCCACCATCTCTGCACGGCAGCGGCCTTCTGTGATTTACACACGTTGTTCTCATGAAAAAGCAAATTATCCTCGGAAAAACCAAAAGAAAGAGGAATGCCATTTGGTGCCTGTGGTTTTCTGTTCAAAAAGTAGCCTGTTGTGCCCAGCTGGTGTGACTCAGTGGTTGA